ACAGAAAATGCCTGCAAATGACACAACAGGTTTTCCTTCCCTCTCGAAGGACCAGATTTGCAGTGATCTATTACTGTTCTTTCCTGTTGAACTTAAACTGGGGTTATTTTCACCACTCCTAAACAGCAAACAAAAGCCAAGCATTAAACAATTTGCTTACAGCACAGCAGTGTCTTAATGCTTTCTAGCGCTGCTTCCGTGTTGTAACTGGGTGGGGAAAAATGTGGTTTGCCCATGCCCCCCAGCTGTTTTCCCCAGACATGTTTGACAAGGTTGAACCTGACCTCTCCACAGGATGATTTTTGCAACAAAAAGAGTTCTCCATGCTTGCTCTCAGGGAATGAGCTGCTTCTATATTTGGAAGTGGCCCTGCACAAAACAACTTCCTTAAACAAAGCATTCTTGTACCCTGGACCAGGGAAAAAGCAACATGAGAGCTGAACTGGGACTGAGAAATAACTGACACTTGACCTGCTCTAGCTTCCCAGTTAAAAAGAGAAATGGGTGCTTTGCCACATGGTACCTCAAGCCTGATTTCTCCTGGGCTCATTAACAAAGCTAGAAATGCTTTCAAAGTCATGTTGTTCTTATTTACTTTAAAAAAAAAAAATCCACAATGCTTATTAATTGCTTGGCTTTTATTTCTGCAGCTCCTCAGAACTGAATACACCAGTGACCGAAGGATTATTATGGACCCAGAGTGATCTCCATAGAATAAAAAGTGGCCTTCAGCTCTTCTAACCCAACAGTCCCTCCTCGCTTCCAGCATCAGGCAAGATAAGTGGCAAACAAGAACACCGAGCTGGTGGTGCTGATAGTCAATTTTGGTGGAAAGCAAATTCCTGAGGGGAGAATTCGTAAGACTGCTCTTGCCCATGTATGGCTACTTTTCTAAGTCGTTACACGCCTAGTAACTCCAGTATGTTTAACCAGAAAGATTAATTTTTTTGCTCCGATTTTTGTGGAATAAATTTACGGCATTGCTTAGTGCCAATACACAGTGAAACCTTTCACCCTTTTTTTCCCCCACTCTTCCTCCCCACCCCCAAATAAACTGTCACCCAGTTAAAAGCAAATCCTCTCCCTGGAGCTTGTTTTTTCCCTTTTGTATGCAAGGAGGCTTAAGAAAAAAAGATACCAGTACAAATTTGAGATTTTTCTTTTTAAGTGAAGCTCATGCTCTGGTTTTTCATATCACTTAGTAACATATTGGTCTGGATTTCTTCTCAGAAAAAGCAAATTTATATTAAGTCGGACTCAAAGGGTAAATTTAAGGCACTCATCCTGGGCCAGGGGGCTGAACTTGATGATCTTCCAAGGTCCCTTCCAGCCCTAATATCTATGAAATCCCAGCATGCATCTGCCAGTGCCCCATGGTCACCTTTCCTTCTAATTGTGGTTGGGCATCTGCATAAAAATCCCAGAAATTTCCTTTTTTCTCATGGTAACTGTGGAATGACGTTCTGTAATAGTCCCAAAGGAACCTGCTATGTAAGGCAGTGCAGAGGGGTTTCGCTTACTACTTTTAATTAAAGTTTTCTGCTTAGCAGGGTCCAGTCATGCTTCTGGTGGGGTCAGTGGAAGTCTGTGCCGTGATCTTCAGTGAAGGCACCAGGCTTGTACAATTCATGCAATAATGTATCTGATGCCTCACTGACTGAAATTTGGCCTCCGCCTGGATTTGTACTTCATGTTTTCAAGTGAGGGGAAAAAAAGTTATCTACTAGAAAGCACTGGCTGGATTTTATGATAACCTCACGCAAAAATTGGGATTTATATTGTGTAACGCAAGCACTTATTAGGAGTTTGAGCATATGGATTTGTTAAGACTAATACATAAGTGCAGCTAGCACTTTTAAAGCAAAGATTTGTCTTAAAGCCATCCTTCTCATTCACATTCCAGGTTACCTGTTTTAGAGAAACAGGTGTGTATAGTATAGGAACATTAACAGCAGGTTGGGTAAGTAACTTTCAAATAGAGAGCTAATCTCCTAAGATTTAAGTCCATTTCAGAACAGGATCCTTGCACGTATCTTTGGATGACAGTGGTTTATTTAGTTCTCTGCCCTGCACTTTTCTCGCACGCTCTTGTCCTGTGATGATGCAGTGCCTATTGCCTCAGCCAGACGGCAGAGAACTTTATAAGGCTGTGTGCAGCCTTGACGTTATTTCACTAAAAACAGGGGTATCATCAGCCAATGTGAATTAGGGACTAAATTCCCCAATGCTAAAAGCAGAGGGGAAGACAGGCCAGAAAACAGGCTGGACATGCAGGTGTTTATGAAGAACAAATCCTTATCACTTCATTTCCTTTCTAAATTGAGGAACAATGGAAATAGAGTTAAAAACCCCAGTTCTAAATATAAAATAGAAATGGGAAGTAGCTCACGTGACCGGTCCATTGAAAGGAGGAAAAATTAGTTTTCCTTATTGCAGCGCTGAATCAGCACTGTATCCCTGAGATGCATCTCTGGCTCCCTGGCAAACCCAGTCTAGCTTCACAATCTATTAGTGTATCAATTAATGGGTTAATTAAAGCTGTCAGATAACTCATTTGCCATCTGAATCAGCATGATGTGAACTACTGGCAGAATACTTTGTGTACGTGTGTGCCTGTTGTACCTACCTTTATGGACACAACCTGAACTGTGTTAAACTAAGTTTCTATGCTAGACTGACAGAGGTGCCACTGGTTTTATTATTTTTTTAATAGGAGCACAGTCTCTGGGGCAGCAAGGTTTCACTGTGTTTAGAGATTATTCTTAATGAATGGTTTAATTTACAATTGTGTGAGAGTTATTAAAAAAATTCTAACATTAACACTGACTCTGCCATAGCAAACAGTGACGCCACATTGGTTTGCAAAGCATTTTATAAAACGTTAAGGTTTTTGCAGCTTAGTATGAATTTGTTTTTTTAACTCCTCATGTACTACATTTTGCAAATTCTACAGTTTTCTGCCTCCATTTGGGGAGATTCCATTCATTGACATAAGTTCTACCATCTGGCAGGGCTAAATATTAGCTGTGTGTTTCTTTTTATTTGAAGGGATGTCTTAATGTTACACACAAAGCAATTAGCTTATGGAGGTACTGCATTTCTCCTAAAGCTAATCATGTTGTTAAAATACCAGGAGGAATCTCCTTTTTTTAAACAAACAACTGACATCAGAATTTAGAAGAATAATGAATTTCAACCCCGTAAAATAGTTAAATCTTGAAGAAATACAGATCCTTTTGGAGAGTCTTTGTACACTTACATAAATAAGTGCCTTTACACCATAGTCCATTGAACTAAATAAGTAACATTGATACAAGACAGTGTGTGTGCTTGTAGGGGCTAGACACTTGGAAATAAAAATACTTGGGATTTAAGATTTTGTTTGGACAGTGTTCTTTGAAGTAACGAGCTAGAAACAATGCAGTGAAACTTCATAACTTTATTGAGTACATCCATATTTAAAGCATAACATTAGATGTCCAGAACATACAAATACCTGTGCAAACCTGTTGTACATAACTGGGGGAAAGGAGAACAGGTCATTATAAAAAAAACAAAAAAACCCTATAATAATCTTTCACATGTTCCTTTGAATACAATTAACGCCTTTAAGTACATCAACAGCAGCATGGGGCTTCCCCTTTCCTACCCCTGGGTTATCTTTGCACCCAATGCAATACAACAGGGCTCAGTTACAGGTTATAAGCGTACTTCCTTTGAGGCTAACTAAATCAGGAGGGAGAGCTTAGCAAGATAGAGTGACTGATAGTGCACTTAACGTTCTTTTGGCTTGAAGTATTGTGGGGCTTTGTAGGAACACAGGCATACACACACCAGTCTTGACAAGAAGAAGCCCTATACAAGAGATGTTGTCACGTGGTGAAAGTTTCAAGCGCAAAAGGTGAGACACGTAATGGTCTGAAAAATGAGAACAGGCAGTAAGGCTGCAGCACTCGCGCTTCGGGTAGTCATTTTGGCATATCAAAACGGGGGGGGGGGGGGGGGATACTTGAATCCTGGAGAACGAGATTCTCACTAAAACCACTGTGGTCCCCGTGAGAAATGCTTTACTGATCTACTCCTGTTTATCCAGATATTGTAAGGTAAGAGCGAGTCACAGCCTGTCATGACAGTGTTATGGCAGCAAGAGGTAGACACCAGCACAAGTGTTACCATCTGCTCCATGCCTGTTTATTCCATTTTAGTAACCTTTTAAGAATAGGCTCCTGTAGGCAGTTTCTTTTACGCTGTGACTATTTGGATTTTTAATCACTGAAGAACTCCAAAAAGGCAAAGGTTCACAGTTTCAGAGGCAAACTGGCTTTAAAAAACGTTAGAGAAACTTTGGTGATTTTAATGAGTTTGCTTTAGTTTGTTCTTCTGACCTCTTGCAGAGACCTTCTGTTTTAAAAACAGTTAAATTAAACAATTTTACAAAAAGCTAAGCACATACACCCATGCTAGTGAATGCATTACATGCAGCATCAGGTAGAGCATTGCACACTTATTACAGTGATTTACAAAACACCACATACTGGTTTAACATCCATTGTCACTCTTTTGTCATTGAGACTTACATTATATTTGGGTCAACCAAAAAACCCAAAGAGATTTTATAAAATTTTACAACAATTAAACAGTAACGTTTAATTCTACAAATGAATAAAGCAAACTACTGTAGCTCAATAGACCAACAGGACTTACAGTAGTCAAGCAACCTCTATCCACAAACTAATACAACATGTGCTATTTACAGAAGCATAAATAATTTAGGATAACATCCCAGAAATACATTTGGTTTGTTTCAAATCATAACACTTGCCTACAACTGAAGGTTATGTGCTCTTCCGTGACAGATTACATAAAATACTTGAGGAAGATAAAGATCAGCAAACGGGGGGCCCTGGGCTGAAGTCCTGGCCCCACCAGAGTCAATGACTTAACTTCCATTGACATCAGTAGGTGAGGCTTTCATTCCCCTCCCCTCTTTTCTGCAGTTCCTTATCTTGGACTCTTGTTAGTCTCATGGGTTTTATTAAAATATAGATTCTGGAACTGTTTTGTTAATCTTTTAAAAATATTTAAATAGTGTGCTCTCAAAAAGAGCATTTCTACAAAGTCTTATATTTACAGTACAGACAATTATGCTCACCATGTGTTTCTTAAGATCAACTCTTCTATGTTAGAAGAAATCTAAGCTTAAGTGCTAAAAGTTAATGAATGTCTATTTTGAATTGACTTGTAAAGATATCTTAAAACAGAGACATGGATGGCAGAATGATCCAGGTTAAATTGGCTGAACAAGAGACATGAAGCCACTTTTTTAAAAGTTTAAGTAGAAATTCAACAGACCATTTCTGCAAGGCTTCATCATCCTTTCTGTCCTGCCAAACACTATAAATGTCCTTGGCTTATCTTGGAAAAAACTCAGCTTGAGAGGAGTGCCTTAGAGAAAAGGTATGTTGTATTACTCCCACCCTTTTCTAAAGGGTCAAGGCCTGAAGACTATTGAATTTACTGTCAAGATGATAAAGTCAGAAAAAGAATGACTGGACAGTTTCTATGAAATAGAGCATCTCCGTCAACCATCCCAAACCTCATGCAGTAACCTCTGCTCAGTGTTACAAATAAAGTACACACTGAAAGACATCTACCAAACCCTTTGCAAGAGTTTGTATAGTTAGAGAAAAAAGGAACACTTTTCTACATACAGATATTTAATTCCATGCAAGATGGAAAAGGTGAGTGCACAAAAGCCTCTTTTAAACCTAAATCATGTTTATGATTTACCTGTGAAGGACAAAGCAGGTTCTACAGCAATTATATTATCGCTATATTTATAAACACATGCAGCTGATTCATTAACACCAATTTTTACATAAAATTCCATTGCAATAATGCATCTGTTTAATAAATAGACTAAAGATAACTTTATATAATATACTGCTTTTAAGTGTACACACAATATCTGTGCACGCTGTAATAAAGTGGTTTTTGAAAAGTTGTCCTTGTTTGTCTATAAACTACAAGTGCCCATTTTAAATAAAAAGATCCATAATTACCCATGGGCTACTTCCCTGTGACACACAGTGTCACAAACGTTGTGGTGAAAATGCAATATTGAAGTTAATCTAGAGATGGTTTTTGTACAGTTTTTTATACAATCAAGAAAAAGAGATACAATTTGTATCAACAAACAAAAGGTCATTTCTGGTTATTTGAGGCATTGCTCTCAGCTGCTTTTCCCATACAAGAGAAGATAATACAAACTAATTGGAAAGTAAAAATATAAAAAGCTGGTTAATAAAAATTGCTCTGAAAGTTGGTCAAAAATTAAAAATATTTTAAATTATGCGTTGTTTCTGAAGATTAGTTTTATTTTTTTTATTAACAGCAATGATGTAACTAATTAAAACTTAGTTATTTTTAAACACTCTAGATATGGAGACTCTAGATATGAAGACAACATAATCTTCAAGTGAACTCATTTAAATACATAATGACATGGTCATTATTTAATATGTAAGTAATCTGAGAGGTACCTGTGTGAACACTAGTATATTTATCATGTGTGAAATGATGTGAATATCAAACATACTAGTACATTTGTTGTTTGCACCTGTAACCGTTTTATTGTCTGACATGAACACATTTTGCACATGATAAATAGCCCACAAGATACACAAGATGCAACTACTACAGTAACACAAGTGAAGGAAGTGATATAATTTTGTTCCTCAGACAAACAACCAAAAAGCAGCATGCAAGCCATTATCAAAACGCCAGAAACAACCCTGACTGCAGCCTCACGTTCTGTGTGTTTCACAGTAAGAAACATTTAGGCAGTGTCACACCTTCTCATGAAGAAACAAAAGGCCATAAACCAGGCCTTCTCAACTTTCATGAAAAAAACTACAGTAGAAGTCAACAAGTCCTAGCTCGAGACATATCGAGTTAGAAATGGTTCAAAATGCTGAAATATACATTGGATTCAAAAAGGGCGTCCAGTCAGTGCAGCTTAAAAAAACCAATAAACGCCTCTTCTGGAGACATTTAGCTACAAAGGTTCCCACCCCTGAGCAAAATACTAGTTGCGCAAACAATGCCACACAAACTTTTTCTTCTTGCCTGTCAAAATAAGAGCTCTAAAAGCCTTCAAGAGGCAAATGCACACCTTTGCGTGGATCTGAAGTGCAAAATTAGGCCAGGTTACAAAACTGTAGCATCCCTATTCAGAATTTGCCTCTCCCCTTTGAAAAATGTATCCGTCTTTTTGGAGTGTTATTTTAACCTTCCCAGTACCAGCCCTGACCACAAAATGTGTTGTGGTTTCCGCTAAATAGCACATTCCCACATTGCCATCCATTACCTTCCCCTGCACTTGAGGTTAAGTAATGCATAGTTCATAAGGAGAATGGCAGTCCATATACATTTCACTTTTATTTATAGCCATCCAGGATGCTGGTCATTTAAAATACAATTCATCTGTAATTGTGAAGAGGGAAGCTACACTTTAATGTGTTTTTAATTTACTAAATAGGGCTCAGTCCTGCTTTGGGGTGCTGGAGCTTAGAGCTTTGTAGAACTGAGTCCTAATCAGACAGATCTAAAAGCTAAGAAATATCAACTGTGTTGATGTGTAAGGGGATAAATTAGTTTTGGGGAGGGGGGGTTGTTTTGGTTTTTTTTTACAAATTGTGGATTATTTAAATTGTTGGCAAGCACTTTTCAAAATTATTTGACACTAAGAACTGCAGTGTCAAAGGTCAGCCAAAATCTTAAGAGATGATCCAGGAATGTATAGAGCTTATTTTGAAAGGTCAATTATATAATTATCAAACTGAAACTATACATCCATACATGCAATATAATTGCTAACAATAATTTTGTATGAACAGCTTTGAGACACTAAAAATGTGACATTGTAGTTCTTAGTTAAGTAGTATATCCATGCAATAAGGTATGCACTTCCTGTAAAATACTTTTAAAAATCCCTATATTTAAAATCCTAAAATATTCATTATATTTACAATACAATCTGCTCTTCTATAGGTGCCTTAGAATATACTGAATGATTGGTACAACAATGTACAGAATTGTATATCACAGAATTAGAAAATATTTACAATTTATTTACCCAGTGCCTCGATTCACATTTTCCTCCAGATCGTGTCCCTGGCAGGTTCAACATTATCTTCTTAGGTCCCACAAGGGTTTTTAATGCTTTAACGCCCAGCTCTGAGTTTGGCAACAATCATGGCTGCCAGCTGCTGTGCGTCTGTCATGTGAGGATTTTTCTCCATTACTGAGAGAACTATGTTTGCAGGGAAAATATTGCAGAGATTCTTGTACGTCTGATACTGATGTTCTGGGATGATATGCTGTTCCCGTGGCTCACCACACACCCCAACCCAAGGATGCCTCCATAGTTGCTCCATCTTTTCAGGCATGCTTCTTACCATTACTGGTTCATAACATGGTTGCATAAGGTTATTACTCAGTGAATAAGACTGGTAAGAATAAGCATCTGTTGCACATGGTAATGGATCCCAACTAGCATGCTGCTCTCGACAGAGGGGTGGTCGCCTCTGGCGCGCAGGGTTACTTTCATAAAGCCGCGAGTCAGAAATACTGTCCATTCTTGTCATAACCAAGGCACGGCTTGGCTGTGCAGTGGCTGATGGATGCATATTCTGAGGCACAGGGTAGTCTCCTGGACAACTGGACCGTGCTCCAACAACTGGATGCTGGACGTGTAGTCCCAAGTGGGAAACAGACTGTTTGCGAGGTGGTAGTTTGGGTTCTTCGGTTCCATAACTCTGAACTCTAGTTAAGGCTTCGTGGTAACCATGGGTAAAAGGCTGAAGACGATTTTGTGATGAAAGCCTATGGACCTTCATGTTGTCTTCTGGACTGGTATCTGCTACTCCCAGATACAAGTCATTGTAAGAGGAATAAGAATCATTACTTGTATGGCTTAAACGACTGTCAGGACAGGGGCTTGAGTTTCTAGCATACATCCCTTGGTCTGCATCTACCCCATAGTAGTCTGTGTTATGCATACTGCTTATGCTCAAGTTGGAGAAATCACTGAGCATGGAATAATAGCCATGGTCTCCCAAAGACTCATATTTGGGATACTGGTCTGTATAATTAACAGAAGCACCATGGCTATTGGTGACCAGTATAGGAGGATACTGTACACTGGACATATGCTCTAGTGAAGACTTTTGATGAGTGAATTGTGATGAACCTGGCACAGGGCTGCTTGCAGAACGAGTATTAAGCGCACCAGCAGCATGGCTTTTTGACGGAGGAATTGTTGGTACACTTAATGCAGAAACAAGAGAAGGAACGGAGCTGGCTTCTGACTTTCGAGCTACTGAGAGCTTTTCCTCGGGTTCCACAGCCACCGATCTAATGCTCGGATCCGACTGGCGTTTTGGTGCAATGCGTTTCACTTCAGAACTGATTTCTCCTTTGGATGTGGATGACCCCATGCCACATTTGGCCAAAGCTCCCTCACTCATGGTTTTCACAGCAGACAGTTTGGCACTTATTCGAAGCTCATCTGCCACTGACCTTTGGGGCTGATTTGCCCGTTCTGGATGGTAGTATTTACATTTGTGTCCATAGGTGCATTTTTTGCCTGCAAAGGAGATATACCCCAAAACAGTTGACCACACAAGAAACTGCATTACATGACCTAAAGAAAGGTTCAGTGTTCAATACTGTATAATCCTTAACTATTTTTAGGTCAAATCAAATGCTTACGAAAAAAGAATCTACACAACTCCTTTTTAACTCTAATGGCGGTCACTGGGTAGGCCTCCTACACACAGCTATGTCAGCACATCTTAGCTGTGAATGACAGTGTTTTTCCTGTTGCTCTAGTAATGTGCTCAGTAGTATACAAGGCAGCAAAAATAAATAAATAAATAAAATCTGTATCAGAGCTTACAGAGCACAAGCCTTCCTCCTGGAGTGGAAACTAAAAATTGTAACTTTTCTGTGGGCCAATATCCATGAGGAATTTGAACCCACAGCTTCATGGCTGAAAAGCCAAACATCTGAATGTTTTAAACTATTTGCTTATCCCTAATTCACTTCCAGTTTTTGTTTTTAAAAAGGTATATAGGTGTTAAACTAGGAATAAAAACAAGCATGGAATCTGGATGCTAACCAGAAAACATGCCAGTTTTGGCTTCATAAAGTCTAATGACAAGATACTAAAATTGTTTACTCAGGTTCTTTTTGTTCATAACAATCTGACTATTGCAAACCTACCATATGGACATGGTTGTTTCTTATGTTCAGGAATAACAGGCCTTTTTCTTAAGAAATTTTCAAGGCTTGGACCATGACGTCCCAAAGGATCATCTGGAGGCATAAATCTGAAAAAAGAGAAAGACACGTACATTCTACTTTCCACTGTGAGCTTTTATTATAAGATCCCATGCTTATAAGGAAAGAACATACTTGTCATTCACAAAGGAATACATTAGCAGCCGTTCCTCTATGAATTTTTTCCACTCTGGCTTCTCATTCTGAAGGTCCCGATAATTGTCATTGGACACAATGATACCATCCGAGTCATAAGCTAGTTTCACAATGAACCGATCATCATAGCAGACCACCCTTCTTCCCTGAACTCTCCGAGATGGGGTAAAGACAAGAATTTTTTCTTTCTCCAATTTACGTAAAATTTCTTGATCTGCAATACAAACGTAAAGGGTTTTAAATAGCTGTGTTAAGAAGTCATTCAGTTTTCACTAACATTTTTTCTTCCCCCACACAAAACCTTTGTGATGAAAATGTGACTGCAATGAGAACAACTGCTCTCCTTCAGATACAGTGATAATGGGGACCAGAGGTATATCCGTACAGACTAATATGGCATTTTTCACCCAAGGTTTTCAAAGCACTTTACAAATATTCAGTAATTAGTCTTTCACAGCCACTCTCTCACCCCTCTGTATTGCATGCACTGTATGCTTGTCTAGATATGTTAATTTTTATATCTCTCTCTGAAGCATTTATTGTTAAAATTCAGTTGCGATTATAATAATGTTCTTCCTGCTATTTGAGACTACAGGAACATATGCAAATTTTCTGGGCTAAACTCCATGCTGACTTCATGTTATGCAAAGATTCCCTGCAGTTGGAGAAATCCTTGGCTGCTGGACTGGCAGAAACCTGCTGGAGCAAGGCCAAGAATCTGTTCTTTTTTTTCTAAAATGCTTGGCACTGGGAGGAAACATTAATGCTCAACAAGTGGCCTTTCAGGCTGACACATTGTGGGAAGTGCTTTCAAATATTTTTTGTAATGAAAGGTAAAATACTATTTAACTAAACTTATACTGCATCAAAGTTATTGTTGCTCTGAGCTTAAGATGATAATGTCATACCCTTGGGTTTTTTTAACCAAGTAAATACAATATTTTGCTGCAGTAAATGATTAAGTCATGTCACGATGAGGGGTTAAATAAGTCTGGAAATGATACCTGTAATTGGTGCATCAGGTCGAGATTGCTCTTTTCTCCACGCGGGTACAAATACAGTGATATCTTTGTGTCCTTTCTCCAGGAACCAGTCAACAGCTAGCTGAATCCCTCGACAGGAAAATCCTTCTTTGTTCCCATGGCTGAAAAAAACAACAACCAACCCATTACAGAATAGTTTACAGCAGTTTTCAGAGCTAATGAAGCACATCTACTCAGTTATAAGTGTTTTATAAATACATGCTCACAAAAAATAAAATTTTAGAAAATTTTAGAAATGAAAAGGTTCTTTTCATAGACCGAAATCTCAAGACAGAATTCAAAGCTACTTCTCTCTTTGGAAACCAAGTCTCACTTAATAGCAGACAAATTTAGATAAAACATTTAAGACACTTCGCAAACACAGCTCATTATTTAAAATGGCATCATAAGTTTAGGGAAATGTGCGTTTTGATGGCAACTATTGAAGACTTCCATCATGCAATTCACTATACACAAAGAGGCACTACTGTTATGACAACAGCGTGAACTGTAGAACAAAGTCTTAAAAACATTTTAGGAAAATGTCCTAAGCCTTTCAACATCAGGACAGCCCTATTTAACACAGCAACACACTTAAATTCCATTAAAGTAAGTGTCAATTAAGAATGTATTCAACTTGAAACCATATATTTAAGTGCTGTCCAAAACTGACATCAACATTTCACTGATCAAGTTCTCAAACATGAATCTTCCAATGTATTATGCCACTAGGTACGAGTGTATCATTTGCACTTCATAAATAATAATTTTGATATATGAAATAGGTTTTTACAACAAACAAATCAACACTTTTAAAGTGTGCTTTATGTAGAAGAGGGACCAGATAATGTGGAAAGATAATTATGACTGCACAAATTTACAGCAATTGAGTCCCTAATATTTTAGTTAAATTTGAAAATCTTGAACTTGATCCTGCAATTCTGCATGCCGGAAAAGTAGTTTCTTCAGTTATATTTATTAATATTTACATTTTTAAAGGTATTCAGAGATTTTTTTTGCCTACTGGATGTGCAAATGATTCACAAGCACAGAATTCTTATTAGGTACTTGTTTAGAGTGAAGACCGACTATATTTTTTTCAGATAAAAAGGTTGTAATTAGTACTGCCTATGAACCCATACAGCAGTTCAACTATTCAAAAGGTCATGAATTCAAATGCCTGTAAATATAGTAAACATTTCAAAATGTTATAAAAGGCAAAAAAGAAAAAATTCATTCCATATCAGAACAAATCTGAAGTTTTACATTTTACACTTACGAAAGGTGAGCCTGTGTGCATTGTTACGTAGGAGATCCAAGTGCAAGTCCAAGTCCTCGCTCTGAACCCAAGAAACTTTTGTGATATTTTGTTAAAACTTAGAAGTTCCCACTAAGGGAGGACCCTACACCAATATTGCTCCTCGAATTCAAAACCATCATCAAATCTTTTCTATACTAGTTTCAAAAATAAATAAAATACATAAATAAATAAATTCACCCCCCACTTTCCTACCCCAGGAACATTTAACATGCTCTATGAGATGCGCAAACAAGGTAACTGTGGCAAACCTACGACACCAAAATGGTACTCTCACTGAAGAACTAAGAGGGTTCAGATAAACCAACCTCAAAGCACCTGTCACTCAAAAAACAAGTCTTCAGCAACATACAACAGACTTCCTCAACAAGACCCAGAATATTTATCACCTCCCTGAGAAGACCATACTTGCAACCGTGGATGACACTAGTCCATAATGTACACTCTCTTGTACACCAACATCCTGCGCCATTGCTGCCTGCCCAAAATATCTTCAAGAACATGGACTACATGATTGCAACCAGAATCCGTCACATAAATCATCCATTTCATTCTTATCCACAACCTTACTTCCAACAACTTACACTTCAAACTATGGGTACAACTACAGGCACAAAGATGGCCTACCCAATATACCAACTTCATAAGCCACCCTGAAGCGGAGATTTTAGAAAACTGCATCATCAAAACTGTACTATATCTGCAGTAAATAGATTATATTTTCAGCATCTGAACTAAACGCAACTAAACGCCTGGACTTCTACCACAGCTTCAGCTACCACCAAATTCCATCAAATTCTCTCTGGAATACTCTACGCAAATGTCAGTGCTCTAGATACCACATTCCACATAAAAAAAAGGCACCCTAGAAACTTATAAATAAGAAAAACCACCAACCAGCACTTACCTTCACAAAACTAGCAATCATTCCACACACACCAGGAGAGCTGTTTACAGCCAGGCTTTCAAACGCCACTATCATCACTGAAAGTACTCATGCCACCTACCTCAAATCTAAAAACTGTCTCTACCCAGCTAGGGCACTCCAGCAGAGAAATAAACTGCATCATGGAACAAGCCACCCCAATACCCCCTACACATCTACTACAATACCAAAACATACAAAACAAAAAAGCACTGACAACACACCCCTGGTGGTTACATACCCCCTAATAAAAAGGATCATCACGCAGCCTATACTTGGAGAGGGCAAAACCTTGATCAATATTCCCAACGTGAACGTGCCCCTGTGTAAACAGTAAATACAAAACCTGTCAGCATACTTCCACAATCAACACACCCTGCAATGAAGCCACTGAAAGTCCTAGAATCGATCCTACACGTCTATCACAATGTGATATGCCTCATCCAGTGCATGACGTACCCTCACGGAAACTACGTGGGTGCAAACAACCACCACTATGCTGCAAAATGAACTCTCAGAAAAATGATGAAAGACAGGAGCACCAGTGGGAGAAGTCTTTCACAGCAGACCCACTCCATTCCTCAGTCCTTGTACTCAAGGGTAATCTATAACATACCTTCAGAAGATGGGCCTGGGAACAAAAATTTGTAACTTTACCAGATACTAAAAACCATGGGCTGAATACAGATAATGGTTTTCTGGCTCAACTAAATTTACCTGCTCTCTCTGCTAATCTCTGTACTCGACAGGTAATAACAACCCTCTTACCCTATAAATGGTCTCATTCTTTCACTTATTTAGGTTATCTATTACAATGGCCCTTTATCTGTTTTTTAGCTACTTCCAGTAATTTCTCTTTGCTCCAAGTTTCAAGCCCTGTTTAACTTCTTTAGGTAACCATTTTCATTTACACACAAAAATAATTGTATTTGGTATTTAGATTAGGCTGTAACTACTTCTTTCCCCGGACTGGAGGAAGAGCACTTTGTGCCTGAAAGCTTGTCTACCATTTCTCCCAGCTATACAGTGGTTCAATAAAAGACAAAACCAAAGACTCCTTACTTTTTGCAACTTCCCACAAGGAAGTTTTGGTTTCAGTGAATTTGCATTTTACAGTAAAAAGTCATATTAACCAGCTATACCTGCAAAGGTAGTGGCTGCCTATCTGAATACCACCTCTTTGCTACACTATTGTTCTAGATTACTGTGAAATTCTGTGCTAGATCAGAAATAGCACCTGTATATACAGCAGACCCACAATTTACACAAGTATTGCACTCCGGGGGAATTTCGTGTAAGTTGAATTGGACGTTCCCCATAGGAAATAATAGAATAGTGAGGGGTTGCATATCCCAGACATACCTTAGTCATAGCTTTTTTTCCCCTTTTCTCAGCAGAATCACCCTTAGGAGGCGCATCTAGCGTCTTGCCTATGTATCTTGAGATGCTGCTACCACAATGGTGGCACAGCTCTGCTTGATTCCACCTGCAAATCTTGTGAGGCGTTCACGTATATATGTGCATATATATATGCAAACACTCACGAGATTCGCGTATATGCGAATAACACGCATCTCGGACATTTTCCAGTCCAGACCCTCATAAAAGAAAAAAAAAAAAAATCACATAAACGTGAGATGCGTAAGTCGGAATAGGATAAATCAGGGGTCTACTGTAACTGTTACGGCAACTTGGATGCTAAGTCAACAATTGCAGTACGTTTTCAAATTACATCAGGCTTTTAAAAGCTGTAAACCATTCAACCTGCACCTTTTATTTACAGTCAAACAAATGCATGAGTCTCACTCATGTAGCGGAAGTCTAAAATACATAATCAGTCACTGAATCAATGTTCTTTTAGGATTTGCTTGGATTGTTGCACAACTATCATTACTAGTTTCTTCAGTTTCTGATTATCAAGGAAATACTGCCTTACGTAGCTAGGATATAACCTTTCTGCATATATGAAACTTCATTAGAGACCTACCCAATTCTAAACATAAAGCTTACTGTTAATGACACTGTTTTTATGTCCACTTCCCAAATTCATATTTTATCGTGTACAAAGCAAGTGAGTATTGTTCAGCCAAAAATACAACAGCCTGGGTCAGTTTTCTATTTTGGTTTCTATCCAGGCTACACTTCATATAAGTAAACACATACCTAGACTTCCAGGTACAAATGCCCAGAGCAGTATTTACAATACTTCCTCTTAGATTTCAGACTGTGTTCTTTCAAAATATTCATCTACAAAGTACATCAAACAACTCTGATTTGTTTCATCCATCCCATAGATAATAAGCACTTGTAAAGTACAGGATTCTGTATGCAAATTATGTGCAGGTGAGCCCAGGGACTGCGTGTTATTGGGTGCAGGGTTAAAATTCTATCAAGGAAGGTCGAGATATCACTGTACAAACAGCCTCCTACAAGGAACACAGTGTATGAGGGAAAAAGAAGACAAATAGAATAAGTGGACTTTTTATACAAAAAGTATGGCAAAGCAGTTTTGTAGGGTCCCTGTATCAAGGCTAGAATCAGTTTTTCCACTGGGTTCGTATCAATCTTTAGCATGAACAAACAACATGCACTCCAAAGTTACAACATGTAATCTGTGAAAAAATGCTGAATTTTCAATTAAACTGGTTTCTGAATTAGAGAGAATTTAGAAACGTTAACTTGGAATCGGAGTCACAAAAAAGAAGAGCTGGAAGGGACCTCAGGAGAGCATCTAGTCCAGTAGGACCAACCTTTTTGGCAGCTCTGCCACAAAATGAGCATTGCATCCTTTCCCAAATGGCACCCCAATCTCCTTCCCCTGCCCAATCTGCTTCTCTTACTTCTACTCTCAGCCCTGTGCTCCCTACCCGATTTGCTGCTTTGTTCTGCTTCATGCCCTATCTGCTGTTGTGCTAGCTGTCCCCTCCCTGATCTACTGCCTGCCACACAGAGGCTGCCTGTGGCACTCGGGCTGCAGGTTGGCCACCCCTGATCTAGTCCAACCCCTCATCAAGGCAGAATCATCCCTTTCTTAAACCATTCTAAGCAAGTGTGCATCCAGCCTATTCCAAACAAAACTGCACGTACAACCCTAATGTGCAACCACCAAACCCTCATGCCCTGAAACAACAGGAACACCCCAACATGCCACTGCAAAGACAGGAAGTGATCTGTTATAATACACTTCAGAAATCCAAGGAAGAGGACCACGTTCTTCATTGCAGAGGAAAAAATACCCCCCTCCCCCCCATCCATGACAAATCTAACTGTGGAGTAAAATTCCGTCCTGATCCCAAATGTGGCAATTGGTGTGACCCTGAGTGGAAGAGCGAGACCCTCTAGCCAGGAACCACCAGGTGGATCACTGGCACATCCCAGTCAAAATCCCCAACCCTGGCTGCAACCAACACCTAGTGCCTCTGTGAAAGCAACAGAGGTTTGCCTTGCTCAAACGCACACAAAAAACACTAATATCTGTAGCAGCAGCAGGAGAAACAACTCCTTCCCAGACCTATATGGCAACCAATTAAATCTAGAAGCCTGGGGAAACCCGAACACGATCCACTTTGCATTGCAACCTGGGAACTGCCAACATGACTCCACATAAAACACACTGTAACTGGAGAGGAAGAACTCCTTTCTGTCATCCTACTCCCTCCATAAATTTGTCCCAGATCTTCAATACTGTTTTATAATCAAAGATAAGTATTCCTGTTCCCTCTCCTGTATTTATTTCCTAATCTGTCATTTCTTGACTGTCAAACTTTGTGTCATTAATTCACTGCCATCTAATTTTTAAACATACATTTGGAGAAAGTAGGTTTTAATTACGTAAGATGTTAACAACTCTTCACTTCAATTTTTCTGATTACACTCACAAATTTCCTCTCTCAAAATTACAACAGCTATTTCCCCATTATCTGTACTACGGATTTAAGCCACCTAACTGGATCCACACTGCACACATAATTGGTGCGAATTTGCAAAGAAAACACAACAGGTATAATCTGTTTTATATTTAAACAGGTACTAACACCAATGTCAATGAATCCCAATAAGTGAGCTCAAATATATCTAGACAGTTACACTGTCAAGGCTGTCTCTTCCTCCAGGAGCAGGTTTTTGGAAATACCATAATGTATACTTTCACAGGTATTTCTGCTATCCAGAAACTGAAATTACATAAAACTTCAGATCACGCATTAGTTCAGCCTCTTAGCTGCACAGTAAAACAGACTTATTATCTGTAGTAAAACACTTCTGAGTTTTGGCATCATTCTGGATATTCAAATACTTTTAAAAAGCAACTTTAAAAAAAAGTAACAATGAATATAATAAATATTTCAATAAGAAATTCCATTTTTTACTTTTCCCTCTGTATTTCCTATTATGTAAAAATGTTGTACTTAATATATAAATACACTGGAAAAGTGGCCCCAGATATCTAGAACAATGAGACAACTGATACTTCTAGCACCCATAAAACCTAGGAAGTTATTCTGTATTGTGGGACAAGTACAACACCAAATGTTTCTGTTAAAATGTTCATCAGTGATAATTAATTTCCCTTTTTTTATCTTGGTCATATCATTAACAGAACAGATTACATTCTGTGTCAAATATCCAAGCAGTAGAATCACAGACCACAAAGGGTTCTGCACAACAGCTCTAAGTGAGAGTGAGAACTGAAAAAACCCTGTTTCTTTTGTGCACCTTAAAAAACTATATATATAGCAGCTTACTGCATTGTTTTGTTGCTGAGCATCTCCTTTCTCAAACTAACATGACAATATCACTTATGAAATGTGCTGCAAGAAACTCAGGGGTATATTCTTTCCCAGCTTCTGCATTATTAATAGCAGTCAAGCTGAATTTGAAGATGTCATCATAGTGAGAAAGGAAAGTGTGAAGGGAAACAGGTGGTAGGTAAGATGTGATGTTTGGGAATGTTTGTAAGTTCATCCTGAGGATCCTTTCAAACAACTGAAAAGCAGAAAAACCTTTATCAAAAATATACCTTTAGATTTTTATAATACATTTTAAAATACAAGACTTACAAAGGTGCTCTATAAGAAAACTGAATTTTCTGAAATTATTCAATTCAAAAAGCAAACTATAAGATTGGCTAAGGAACTCTGTCGTTTTTAAGAGTTTAACAAGACCAAATACAGACAGATCCTCTCTCAGTGGAAAAAAAAAATCACATGGTGAGTTAGTTATGTGTCATGGCTATTGTGCTTCTTTTAAAATGAATATAACTGACAGCCTCAATTGTCTACGCAGTCACAGGGCTTACTTTTGGACAATGAATTGCAAAAAAGAAAGAATATCACTATATTTAAAATGTTGATTTTTGGTCTCAAGAGACTTAAATTTAAACAGAACCATTTACCTTTAATTTGAATACATTTCAAAAGATAACAGCTGAAGTTGAGTTTTAGATATAAGAATGTTTGATTCTTTAAGAGATGCTAATGCTGAAGCCTACCTCATAGCCACATTACTTCCGTCAATGACAATTGGTCTTAAGTTGTCACTGTTATCGACCACTTCATCTTCAAGCGACAGTTCAGGACTTGCAATCTCCTTCGGACAAGGACCCCTTGGCACTAGAGTACCAGTGCTACTGCTAGCACTGCCTTGACCCTCTGACTCACTCTTGTTGCCAAGTCTCACAAGCTCTGCCAAAATGTCATTGATGAGAGCATCTGCTCCCAACTTATTCAACACAGCCTGAATCTGATCTCCAGCATACCCGAGCTTTAAAGCAAAATCCATTTTAGCCTGGTATTCCTTATCCAGGTTTGTTTTGGTTTCTTCCAGCTTCAAGTCTTGTAGGATACTGCTCTGTGAGAAACTTGGGCGATCGAGACACGGGGAGCGGCAGAGCTGCCTGTGTGGTTTAGTGGAAGTCTCCTTCTCTCTCCACTGAGTGTTGCTGCTGCTGCTGAAGCATGGTTGCTCAGGCTCGCTTTCTGAGCTTGTCCATTCCTCAGACTCAGCACTGCAGTCACCGGTATCCTGTTCTGCAGTCCTGTCTTCTCTGGAGCGCCTCTTCTCCATTTTTAACTTCTCCACCATAGACCAGGCCGTCATCACGTTTAGCTTCCAGCCAGAGATAACAGAACTACTTTCACTTCCAAGGCTACCTGGGATTCATACTCAAATGCATTGTTTACACGAGGCTTGAGTTAACTTATCTTGCTTGGTGTTCCAGTATATATAAAACCAACCTGCAGTCCTTAAAAAACAAACCAGAACAAAACAAATGCATACGATTAGTTTGTGGGTTTTTTGTCAAATTCTGCACAAAGCCTGGCTCAAGTATTAGTTTACCAACAAAAGTCTCCATTTCGATTTCTGTTTAAATTGATCAGAATAAAATGTGTAATTTGTTATCCCTTTAAATCAAAATGCATTGAATATCATCCCTCCCCCCAACAACTGCATAAAGATAAAAACTCAGTGATGACATGTACATGTCCCACACAATGCATTCACAACCAAAGGAAATGCACCATCGCATAACTGCCTGTCACAACAGCTTTTGCAATAAGAAATGTGGTATTTCAATGGCACATCACTTTTTGCCAATTAGCTCTCTCCGTGTCTGCACCGTTTAGCTCAGGTATAACTTGATGGAGCTCTGTGGAGCTCAAATTGTAACTTCAGCCTCCTCAGTCTCTCCCTGCAAAACTCTACTATCATATAACCAAGAAAATTGACCTCTATTAAAGCTACTACAGGCTAGTAGGCAGGCATAGGTCCATACAGAGATTTAAAATTACCCTGGGCAATTTGTTCCCTGCCCACAACTCATTAAGAAATCCTGCAACCAGAAATTACATTACAATATTTTGACAAAGGGCCTAGGGAAAACCTGTTGACAACTCGCATTTCTTTCAAAAGAAAAAATGCTTCAGTAGTTCTAACGAGATCTGAATGAAACATGAAGCACCCAGTCAAGCTAGTCTGTGAATGGGGATCACCAAGAACCCTTGCATCCCTAGTGGTCCACACGTGAGAAGTTCAAAACCTCATATACGTGCAGGTAACTGGGGAGATAAATCAGCTGGTCCCCAACTGATGCAACTGTGCCAGAAGCAGCACACTATAGGTACAGTGCTGCCTGTGGAACTGCACTTTTAGTGCTATGGTTAGGGGCCTACCAAATTCACAGCAGAAGTGGGCTGCGCACCCGGTCCTTTAATCTGTTATGCTGTCCCCCACCTTGCTCTTGATCAGCAGGGAGGCAAAAACCATGGTTCTAAACGTGGCACCATTTTTGTCTCCCAGCCAGCCAGCACCAAGCAGCAGGGTTACTGTGGACCCCCAGCCAATCAGCCACCTGAATGGGGGTGTGGGGGAACCTGCAAGATTAAATGAGCTGCTGAGCAGCCCACTTTAGCTGCGAATTTGGTAGGTCCCTAACTATAGGCCAATCATGCAGGAGGGTGGTAGTAGAATAGGCTGTGCTGGTTAAAAGGACAACTTTGCCAGTATAATCCGTGCCTAAATTAAAAGCACTTTCACTGGGAAAGCATACTACGAAAGCAGAGCTCTTTAGCGTAGACATGGCCTTAACTGTGGAGCAAGTGGACAGACAAAGGTGTCCTAGCCTACCGAGATATGATGCCCGTAGGCTGTAGCAGAGGCAGCTGAGAAACCAAGAGGAGACTAGGGCTAATAGAGGGAATTGGTCACAAACATTAATAACTACATTTACATCTCTTTCATGCTCCTTTCTTCATTCCCTTTCATGTATTTACCACCCCTTAGGGTGAGAGCAGGCATTTAAAGAAACATTTCTCAAGGGAACATAACAGCTCAAGCAAGTGAATTATTAATCTAGGGAGGCCTCAAGCATGTTCACATATATACAGACACTTTAAAATGCTGCTTCCTACCCCTTTAGGGGAGAGCTTGTGTTGTTACTGTGATCTACCTCAACAGGATTACAGTGATGTTACTTCCCCACTATACAGAGATGATAACTGTGGATTAACAGTGAGTATAAGACTCTTCTTTGAAAATAAATATCATAAATAAATAAACCAAACCTAGAAGCAAGAATGCCTGAAACCGCTGGTTTATTCTGAACCTTAAAAAGGTACAATAAACTAGATTTTCTGCCTAAATAGTGCTTAAAAATGTTCTAAAGAATGAAATACAAGAGACACTTAAAGTAAGAGAATAGTAATGGAAAAGCTGATGGGCATTACCTACAGTGCTGCAAAATAAATCTATACTATTTGTATAATAAAGGAATTATGTTTAACTGGAAAATTCATCTTCCACTTCACTTAAATAACAAGTAAGAGCATTATACTAAATATTAAAAACAAACACAGTAGACAGTTTTTCCTTTCACTTCCCCAGTCAAATCTCATGCATATTAATTCTGAGTTACACTTCTCTGCTTTAAAGTCTGGTTCTGATAAATACTTACTAACCACAACTCCTATTACACTGTGTACCCAATCATCCCAAAGATTCTTTTATCATTCCCCCTTACTAAGAAATTACTCTCCTCTGCTGAAAGTTTTTTTTTTGTTTGTTTTTTAAATCAAATAGCATAAAGTGATTGTAAAACCTCTGAAATCAGTCAGGAGACTAAAGGGCAGGTGGTAAGGCCACAAACTTGATTTTTGTTAAAGTTGCTGATGTCCCTTTTATAAAATAATCTGCATTATTTGCACAGTACTTAAGTACATTTGGGACTTCAGATACAGAAGATGGATAAAACTCTCGTTCCGAAGAATAAAACATAAGGGCTCTTCTTGAAGCTGGTTGTACATACACAGGCTTCTTCACCTATATGGGTAATGACTTTAACTGGAACTCCAGATCAAAAGGAGCTCAGTTGCACAAACCAGTGTGTGGCAGGGAAGACAGCAGATGGAATAGGCATCAGAATTTGGGATATGATCTGTGAAATAAGGTTAGGTCCTTTGGGCATAAGGGAAGATCCAAAAAAGGAGGGAAATTAATTTAAAGATTTTGCTTTGCTTTGATTAAAAGAAGGCAAAGGAATGATCTGATAATCTGTATGTGGCTACCTGGGAAATTTCTTAAAGAATTACTGACATACACAGTAATGGTGTTCTTTAAGGCAGTGTCCCTTTATACATACTGTGGGGTGCACATATACCCCACATACCTGCAGAAGTAGAGAAGCTTTGACAGCAGGACCTACTTGGCCCATGGATCTGCTCTACCTATCCCTGTACACTATACAATGGGTAAAAAGAGCAGAGTAGAACCAAATGCTGCTCCAGTTTCTTCTCCATCACCCATGCTTTAAAGCAGGCTTGTCTAACACATGGCCTGCAGGCTGCCATGCGGCCCGCCAAGCCATTTTCTGAGGCCCACGGTGCTGCAACAGGACATGAAAGTAAACACTGTTTACTTTCGCTCCCACCCCTTGTCCCTCCCCCAGCAGCTTCCTAATGGCTGCTGAAGGGACAAGGTTCCCACATGCACCACATCAGCTTGACATTGCCGACGTGGTGCGCGTGTGCTGCTCGGGACAGGACGAGCCCAGCCAGAGCAGGAGGGGCTCAGCTGCACTTTCCCCCTACCTGCGCTGGTCAGTCCTGAGCGGCACACAGCTCCGCCGTTACTTCTGCTGGCTGGTGCCGACCCGGGCGGGTCTGTGCCATCCGGAGCAGCATGCAGCTGAAGCCGGCTTCCCATGTGCTGCTGGGGACGGGAGGAGTCTGGTGAGGTCGGCACTGGCCAGCAGAGGCGGCAGTGGAGCTCACTATCCTGTCCCGAACAGTGGCAGAGGTGGATGCTATAGAGGGAGAGTTTTGAACTGGTTAGACCCATTTCATTGTCACTTCCTGCAACTTCATTGGTGTCGAAGGTCATGTGACATCACTTCCTGATGTGATACCACTTCCTGTGAGGTCTCTGAATATGGCTCACCAGCCCACTGGGTGATAAAAAGTTCATGATCCGGCCCCACATTCAAAATGGTTGGACACCTCTGCTTTAAAGCATAATAGAATCTGAAGCCAAAGGGAAAGGAGCATTGGTAGAGGAATGCGCAAGGACAACACCAGTGCAATGCTTGTGCTGGCAAAGCGAACAACACTCTGGCATGCACAACCGATGCATCACAAGCAAAACTAAGGATGGCATCCTCCCGCTCTACTCAGCATTGGTGAGGCCGCAGCTGGAAAGAATCCAAAGGAGGATCTGGAGAACAGACCATGTGAGGCGAGCCTGAGGGGCATGGCACCGTTCAGCCTGGTGAAGAGAAGACTCACAAGGGACTTGGTGGCCACCCTTAAGTATGCAAAGGGTGACATGAGGGGCTAAGAGAACACCTGTTCACCAAGGCACCTCAGGGGAAGACTAGGAATAATGGTCATAAACTGATAGAGGATCACTTCAGATTAGACGTGAGGAACAATCTCCTTTACCGTTTGTGTGTCCAGAGTCTGGGACAGACTTCCCCCACAGGGGTGGTACAGTTACCTTCCCTGGGGATTTTTAAAAGATGACTGGATGCACACCTCACTGGGGTCATCAGACCACACAGTCTTTCCTGCCTTGAGCAGGGAACTGGACCTGAGGTCCCTTCCAGCCCCTAACTTCTATGAATCTCAATGCTATTCCTGTTATTGTAAAAGTAACAACACAAAACTAAGTTTTCTTTCTTCTTTAAATACATTTGCCTACGTATATTCGAGTACAGGATTCCCAACATCTGGGGCAGATACTCTGATGATGTCTAGAGGACTGCCATCCTGAAAGAGGCATCTGAAGCAGACACCTGTATTAGGACAGAATGCTTTATAAAGGTCTGAATGGAAATTCCTAGTTGCTGCCTAACATATAATCAAGGATAGAGCATGTCCAAAGAAAGCCACTGATGTCTTAATTAGTTCACAGTCAAGGAGAAGCTATCAAGTCTGTACATGGAAACTGCAACATTTTTTATTCCCTTACAAAGAGGGATAAAAAGTCTAGGAGATCTTAAAGGTCACTATTTTTGCAGATAAATGGTCAAAGCCTTTTTTAGATGTAAGAAACATAACTTCATTTCTTCATGGTTGGTATGTGATATTGGAAGAAATGCAAGGAAATGAATGGATCGATTAATAGGCCTGTGCGAAGCGGCTAGTATTCGCTTCAGATTCTGATTCAGCCAATTCGGGGGACAGTGATTAGATTCAGTGATCTGAATCACTGTCCCAAATCGATTCACCTGAATCTGATTCAGAGATTTGG